TCTCTCTCTCTCTCTCTCTCTCTCTCTCTCTCTCTCTCTCTCTCTCTCTCTCTCTCTCTCTCTCTGTGTGTGTGTGTGTGTGTGTGTGAGACATGCATTGAGAGGTACTTTTGTTTGCCTTTGCTTTCTTCATATGTGCAAGTTTTACCTCACAAATGTGGCCGCCAACACAGGAACAGTCTCTCTAATGTTGCTGAGAAAACTATCTGTATGAGTTAATAGGAGCAAGTTTTACGCTTCGGCATTGAGGTCATTGTTGAATGGTATATTATGCCGTCCGAAATAGAGCTTACTCAGCCTTTTGGTTTCTGTGCTTGTTTTTTTGTTATTGAGCAGCACATTTGGTGGCAACCCATTGGCAAGTGCTGTTGGGATGGCGGCAGTGGAGGTCGTGAAGTCTGAGAACCTGGCGGAGAGGTAAAGTGGGCTGAGCTGTTTGTGGGGAGAAGATCCCTCGTGTATGGTTTATTGTGCTGTTTGTTGAAGCGGGTATGTTGTCAGTCCCCTGCATCACAAAGCCAATGAATATGTGGAAAAAGTTGGAAAACAGAATCTCAGAGTCTTCGACCTTACGATAGCACTCCTCGATCTCGAAGTAGATCCAACTGGGGGGTCGGGGGAGAATGAAACATCAGGGGGGAGTCGGGGGAGAATGAAACATCAGGGGGGGGGCGGGGGAGAATGAAACCTTAGAAGTTAGCACTAGATGCGTCCTGTTAGAGTTTCCGAATAGAGTGCATAGGTGCTGTATTCGAAAACAACTTTAAATAAGGTATGTTCGAATGGAACGCATATGTGTTGTATTCGAAAAGAAAGCAACCTATGCGTTGTGTTAGAGTTTCGGAATAGAATGCGTATGTGCTGTATTCGAAAATAAGGGATGTTTGAATGGAACGCATATCCGTTGTATTCGAAAAGAAAGCAACCTATGTGTTGTATCCGTTTATAAGGCATATGCATTATCTTCGGGGGAAGGTGGTAGGGTACAGGTTAAGGATGAGATCAGTGGCGCTCGCATAGACCGTACTTGAGAGATGGCGATCCTTAACGTCGAGACTCGAGACCCATCGAGGATTGAAAAGTTCCCATGGCATTCTATCCCTGCTATTAGCCCTCCGCGCTTCAGTAGTGGTTTTCCTCATCGTAGATCTTGCAGTACTGATCTAAGAAAATGGCTAAATGCACGTAGAAGCAAGAATAATTGAAGCCTGCTGAAGGAGCTCTGCGCCAACTGTCTTTAGGTGACTGTATACTATACACTAAATATTATGTACTGTACTATATACTATATACTATATACTATATACTATATACTACTATATACCCTAAATCTTTTTTTTTTTTTTTTTAAACCTATATATAGTATGTACCCTTGAGTTTCCTAAAGAAAAGATATGTAAATGATGTGGAGTCGGGCATTGCCGACTGATTGCAGAGCTACTCCTTTCTATACCGGTGCTGGTATGACTGCAGCCTGAAACGATGCATTCCTTTTTTATTGGTGGAATTATGGACTTGCAGGTCTGCCATTCTAGGGGAGGAATTCCGGCAACACTTGGAGAAGATCAGACAGAAATTTCCTCATCTGATATCCAAAGTGAGAGGAAAAGGACTTCTCAATGCTGTGGTGATGAATCAACAAGGTCTAGGAGGCGTATCCGCCTATGAAATTTGCGTCGGTCTGAAGGAAAGAGGAATATTGGCGAAGCCCACACACGACACAATCATTCGGTTGTCTCCACCTCTTACAATCAGGTATTTTTTTATTCCTTCATGTGCCCAAACATATTGTTCACCTGAGAAATGGGTGGAAAGTTGCAACCACCTCTCTTTCCTCCTCCTCCTCCTCCTCCACGCCTTCCTTCTTGGTACCGACCAGATCATGTCACTCATCTGGAAGAAAAAGGGATGGAAACGGCTCGCCTTCCAGATGGAAGAGAGGCTAGGTTTCAATCCCACAAAACACAACCC